GGTCAACTGTCCGGGCCAGCCAGATCTATATAAATTTTAAGCAGTAAGTTTTCTTCGTCAAACCTTTAGATCCGCTGCGCATAGGTTTATGTAGAATGTTTGTTCGTGATTTGTGCATATCGAGATCCTCGTGGGTTCCAACATGGCGTGCGTGCGGCTTCGCGGGGATGGCTTGTGCGCGACTACTGGGTGCTGGAAAGCCACGGAACGTGCGAAATGGCGATGGTCTGGTTCGCCCGACGTCCTCTTCATGCGAACGGGGACACGAGGAGGAGGGGCAGGTCGAGGGAGACGACGCACGGCGACCGTGTACGAGCGAAAGAGGAAGAGTGCGAGAGAGATTGGGAGAGGGAAAAAGTTGAAATTCTGATTTTGGCTAAGGTAAAATGAGGGGACACAACTTGTGAAATATATGAGAGAATGAGGGAAAAATTTCCTTAATTGATCCACACAATCAATGGGATCATACTTACAAGAAAAAGAGAGGCAAATCTATGCCTTAATAAGTGCAATATGGCCGGTCAAAAGGAATTAAAAGGGCTGGCCAAATCCTTGCCCTAAATAAAACCCCCACATTCAAAATTTGAATTTAAAATGGGAGCCAAAGAGAGAAGGGTGAGGGGGGTTCGGTCGGCTGGGCGTGGACGCGGGCCGACGGCCTTGGCGCGGGCGCGATCAAAAGACTTGGGCCGGAAGCTCATTTTAACACTTAGGAAAAATACTACGGCTCGGATCGACAAAAATTAAATTAAATGAAATTAATATTTAATAATTATATAAAATATTCAAAATTAGAGTTTATAATAAATACGCATAAGGCACATAAATTCATTTAGGCAATTAGACAAATGACAATTAATAATAATGGCAACAATGATAATAATAATAATAATAATAATAATAATAATAATAATAATAATAATAATAATCCAATTTATTCATAAACGAACGGGGCGTTACAGTCTACCCACCTTAAAAGGAATTCTGACCTCGGAATTCGAATACAAAAGTAACTAACGAACTAATATAATACACAG